GCAAAGAAAACCTTTACAGCAGAGCAAAGTGAGAATTCCCAGACACTCTCACGGGGCATGTTCCAAAAAGCATTCATCCATCATACTCCGCCGCAGCCACACTCTTGGCATCTTGATGTGCTGCCGCTGCTCGGGGATGCTGCTGTTTTAAGAGGAGGCTTTGGGGGAGCACGCTGCCAGACACCCCTAATGCTTCTGAGGGGAGAATTTCGAAGGAAAAAATCTGAGGTTCCTCCTTTCCTGGACGGGGTCAAGGGTGGCAGGCGAGCGGGTGGAGGGGAACAGCGAGGTCTTGTTCTGTCTGTGAATGAAAAGCCTTTTGTGAGCCCGGTGCAGTGGCACGGGTGGGGAAACATCACCCGGTGAGGCTCCACCGCCGAGGAAACAACCGCCACGGGGCCAGCATGGCGCGGCGCCTTGCTGAGCTCACGGCCCCGGTGATTTCTTCTTGTTATAAGAGCTGTTGTCTGATTATTGCTAACGTGTGGAGGTATTGCTTTTTCAGCCCATTTTTCCCTGCCGCCTGGACTGTCCCTCTCCTGGAGGTGAGCTCAGGGGTGCTCAGGCACCGGTGCAGCAATGGAGCCAGGTCTCCTGCAATAAGGGACTTGGTCCTGCAGTGTCAGTGTTTGGGATCCCAGAAAGTGGCCTGGGAGAGCAGAGCTCCCTCCCGGCTGTTCACCCCTCACCAGCCCGGGAAGGTGCCAGCCCCTCGCATGCAGCAGAAAGGAGAAGTCACCCCCCACCCCCAGACATCGGGGATGAGCTGCCACCCCCAGCAGGGACCAGAGTGCTGAGGCAGGGCTGCACAAAACCGTGGCCATGGGACATTCCCAGGCAGGCTACAGGGCTGCATCCCCCCCCGGCTCTGTGGAAACAGCAGGGGGGCAGGGAACCCCCCCCGAGCAGCCACGGCCCCGTGTCACCGAGCTCAGGGCTGAGCCGTGCATGGGCAGCGCATGGGCGATGTCTGCCGAGCACTGTGCCAGGGCCAGGAGCATCCTGGGCTGCACCTCGCTGCCACGCCGGCTCCCCATCGGAGCACGGTGCGCTGCCCCACTGGCCGTGAATTCCCTGTTCCCAGTGGGGCTTCAATGCGGTGGAGCCAGGCAGGCCTGCGAGCTGGGGAAGGAGGGAGACTCAGCCGAATTAACCAACTCATTAATTCGCACATTTGCACGCTGCGTATCAGCTATTTCCAGCGTGATGCTGCTGCCAGCGGCTGCATCCCACGCGGCCACCAGCCAGGGTGGGCTGAGCCGCCCCCACCAGGGACCGGGGGATCGGCCACAGGTCGGGGCGCAGGGCAAGGCACGAAACGCAGCAAGAACTCCTGCATTGCCGGGGGGGGTCACGCAGGATGGGCAGGAGCCCGGCTCAAATTGGGGCCACAAGCCATGGTCGGGATCATCTGCTGCCGGACATGAGCTGAGGGCGAGCAGCCCGGCTCGGCGGCTGTGCCGCGGCACTTGGATCTTCGGCGAGAGCCTTCGGCCGTGGACAAACGCGCGGCTGTTCCCTGCGGGTGGGCTGGCACCGGAGAGCCCCACCGCAGGCAGCAGTTTGGCGTTCTTCCCCCGGTCAATGTTTAACCAGAGTATTTATCCAGAGTGAAAGAGCTGCAGTGTGAGGCCAGGAGGGGCTCGGGCAGACACAGGGACAGACAAACGTCCTTCTGATGCTGTTCCCGGAGCACACCCTGATTTTTTTCCCTGTGTCCCCAAAGCGCTGGCATCAGCCATGGCCGATAGCACCCGGGCGAGCACATGCACGAGGTCTGCAGAGCCTTCGGTGGCTCTTGTGTCCCCAGCGGTGCCCTGGGCTCCCCCCGGGCTTTTCATCACACAGGGGTGTGAGCGCTGGTGTCCTCACCAGCCCCAAACCTCAGTAATTACCTCTCCATTAGGTCCAGGTGCCCACAGCATCGGTGCCCCAGGCCCACCCTGCTCCCGAGGGGCATCTCCATCCCAACGGGTGCAGAGAAGCTGGAAAACACCAGGCAATGTCCCGGCTCTGCGGCAGATCCACGTGCCGATAAAAACATAGTGTAGACCCATGGCCAGGCCTGATGCAAGTTTGACTGAACGGGAATGAGATGTATTTTATGTCCTTAAAGCACATTAAGTGCTTGGAAGTTAATTGGTATTTAATTAGCATAAATTAAGCTCTTTAATAACAAAAACAACGCAGTATTACAGATGCTTTATTAAAAGTCACCCTGACAAATTAAAAATGAACGTGCTGAACGCATCAACAGCAAAACAGGGAAGCACACGCGGCCGTGCGCGGGCCACCCCCCACCTCCTGCCCCCCTTGCCTGCACCCGGGGACCGCGAGCAGCGCTCAACAGCATCGCCGCCCCGGTGGGACCGCAGTCCCCCAGCCCACCTCGCCTGCACCCGCTGGGCGAAGGGCCCTGGAGCCAGGGTTCAGGAGGGAGCTGGGATGCAGGAGGCAGCCAGCCCTGCGCAGAAGCAGCTGCAGCCATAAGCGTGTTTCCTGCGGCGTTGCAGGGCCGTGCTTCCTCTCGAAAGGGGAAGGTGGGTGCCCGTTGTGCCCAAGTGTGGCAGCTGCAGAGGTCTGCGCCCCGAGCAGGGGCCGGGGCAGGTCAGGTCCCCCCAGTGGCTCCCCACAGCCCGCATCTCCCACCAGCACCCGCTCCCGCACCCCCCCAGGGTCCCTCTGGGGAGGAAGCAGCGACTTTGCTCCTTGTTTGGTTTGGCATTTTTTGTGGCGTTGCCATGACAACCGTCCTAGTGACATCTTCATGCTATTTGTCTCCTGTGGGTTGCATCATTTTCCTTCCTGAATGAGCAGCTGCCTGCGCCCCGGCTCACCTGGGGCCCGTGCTGCCCACCGCGGGGTACCACGTCCCCCTGTCCAGCCCCAGGAGAGCTGCCTGCGGGAAGGGATGCAGGCAAATGCACACGCCCTGAGTCAGGGATGCTTTAATTCCAGCTTTTCCTCACTTCAGCATCTCTACAACCTTGTCCTTTTCTAAAAAAGAATGCATCGTTGTATGTGCGTGCGTGCATGCCTGCATGTGTGGGTCACCTCCTGGGCTGGGAAAATAGAAAGCAAGCTGAAAATAGAGAGGTGACATTGTGCGGGGCTCTGCCAGCCCCACGGGGACATCAGAAAGCTGGGAACGTCCTCCCTGCCACAGCAACGGCTTTTCTGCCTCTGTGTGGAGCAGCCTGTGAAAAGAGGTAGGAAGCATCTGCTTTACCCTGGGGGTTTCCTCCAGACCCACTGGCAGCAGGAGACGGGGAACAGCCGGAGCCCAGCACAAGGTCCTGGCCCTGCGAAGATGCTATTCCTCCCGCTTGCAGCAGTCTGGCCCTCTCCCACTCCTGTCTCCCCCTGTTCTCCAGCCCTGTTTCCAGACTGGTGCCCTGGGTGCTGGGCTGGGCAGCCCCATGAGGGGGGCACAGGCCCCCCCAGCACAGCCCCTTCCCCAGAGGCACCTCAGAGCTGCTCCTGTAGGGGCTGGGAAAGCAACAGACGTTGCCCAAGTTAAAAGTTCACAGAATTAGGAGTGACTAAACCCAGGTACCTTGAGGGGTTCCCTGCTGGGGCTGGGAGTACTCACAATGATGCTCATGTGCCAGTTTACCACCCAAGAAACCCTTCGAGCGGTGAGGACGGGGTGCCTATGAATCCCCCCCCTCCCACCCCGGTGGAAGCTGGGGAGTCCGCACGATGAGTCAGGGCAGAGCTACCGTAGGGGACAGATACCCGGCTGACGTAAAGCTGCTGCGCTGGCTCCTCTCCCCCTGCCCACACAGCTCCATCATTTTCCTTCTGCCAACTCCTCCTGCTTATGGCAGCAGCTCCCTCCGCCAAGGCAGCCCCCTTCCCTCACCCCCCGGCCCCCAGCACTCATCTTCTGGCAGGGGAGGGACGGACCCACCCTGAGCTCTCGGTGGGCGCATCACCCCGACCCTCCTGATGCCAAGAGGGGCCAGAATTCGGACTGCCCCCAAAGCTCCCTTCTCCCATCACCTCCTATGTGTCAGGCTCTTATGGGGCAGGCCACAGGCAAGAGCTTGCTCAGCATCATCCTGGAGCCGTGCGAGGGACAGGAGCCGATCCACAGCACAAGCCGTCAAGCGGGCTCCTGGGGAGGACCATCCTGCCATGCTGGAGCACAGGCTCCCCGCGGGCTGGATGCTGAGGAGGGAGCTGGTGGAGAGAGAGCAGAGATGCTCGAATTGAGACAAATGCAGGAGCCAGTGCAGGGCAGGGCACGGAGCCTCGCAGCACCCACTGTCATATTTGGGGCTGGGGAGCTCCCGCAGGTGTGTGCCAAGGCAGAGGGAGCTAGCTGCATCAGGCCTCGGAATTAATATTGTCATGAAGAAGTTAGAAAGCGATTAGTGTCAGCACTAGCGAGCGATATCACACATTCCCCAGGCAGGGCTGCTCGACTCAGCTTCTTGCCACCTTGGCAGGATCACAGCAGGCTCCTCACAGGGCATTTGGGAACCAGCAGCTCTCACTCCCTGCCCCAGAGAGCTGGAGATGCTCCCGGAGAGCAGCCCAGCACCGGGCTGTCAGCCACTGCCACACACACTGGACCACCTGAGCAGGGGAAAGTGGTGCCCACCCCAGAGGGCGCAGGGCTCCCTGGCACCGCAGACACCCAGGCACAGCCCTGGTGGGACGGATGCTGTGCATGACCGATGCTGGGGGAGGCCCGGACCCCACGGGTGCTGCTGTGGGTCAGAGGATGCTCCTGGCAAGTCCGTCCCACAGCCGTGGCAGGGGCTGGCAGAGTGGGGTGAGAGCAGTGCTGCCCGGCCCTGCTGCCAGCGCAGGGCTGCCTGGTTCAGCTGGGCTGCTTTCCATCGTCCCTGCAGCGTCAAGTGAACCATCTCCTGAGCACAAGCTGCCTGGGAGATGCAGAGGGGAGGTGGGATGGCGAGGAGCAGGAGCAGGGAGCTTCACCGGCAGCTGTGCTGAGCCGCACCGGCCGCCCGCAGCAGGTCAGCAGCAATGGCACGCACGCAGCCCTGCATCTGGCATCACTTCAGGAGCAGGCGGATGGTCCGGTCACCGATCAGGAGCCTTTACGGAGGTAAAAGAGAGAAACTCAGGGTTAGGGGTTTTTGCCATTGCAAGTGTGCATCAGAAACCCAGCAACAGCCCAGCCTGAGCATGGATTCGCCCCGCACAAAGACACAGATGGAGCAAACGTGGATTTGGAGACAGGTTGAATCTTTGCTGTCGTCCTGTCCTCCTGGGAAGGAGAAGGGAAAGGAGTCTCCAACCCTTGGCCATCTCTCTGCAAAAGCAGCTGCTTGCAGCCTTGACCCAGGGAGCAGGGAACAGCCCGGGCAGGGAGCAGGGCAGAGACCCCGGGGAGGTGGCAGGGTGGGAAAGGGGGGGTCAGCCAGCACGGCTGCGCTCTCCTGACCGCTGCAGGCACCACGTACCTCACCAGCACGCCGACAAAGAGGGCAGCGACCATGGGCCCTACCCAGTAAACCCAGTGATAGTCCCAGTAGTTCGCTACCAGAGCTGGCCCAAAGGCTCTGGCAGGATTCATGCAGGCTCCGGACACGCCACCTCTGAAAGAGGAACAAACCGGCTGCATCAGCCCTGTGGGACACGACACCGGGACCTGTCCCCCTCGCTGCTGGGACAGGGCGATGCACAGGGCTGGAGGCAGCAGCGTACCCCTCCTGGGGCTCCTTGCCAGGGGTCTGGCCCTGTTCTGGGGGGGTGGCAGGCTTGGACCACCCGGCCCCCATCCAGGCACTGCTGCTTGGTGCCTGGGGACAGTTTGCTTTTGCAGCGTAACGATGCCCAGACCCGAGCGGCTGCAGCGCAGGGACCAGCTCGACCCGACAGCCCATGGTGGCTGCTCACCAGTGGGCACCTGCCTTCCCTCACCAGCGTTTGCAAGATACCGGGAAAAACCTGGTGCGGGGTGGAAGCATGAGTGCCGAGTCTATTTTGGGGCTTACCAGGAGCTGGGCTTTTAAACAGGGGAAGCTCTGTGCCACACGTAGGTAGCGGAGTGGGGCAGGAGAGATGATAGCATTTAGAGATTAAAGAAAACTGCAACAGATAAATATTTGCACACGAGGTTTGTGCAGCATTTAAATAAGAGCTCTGAATCCCGCTAGAGGGGGCGCTGCCTTAACTAAACAACCCATTAACATTCATAATTGTGTGCACTCGTTATCTGATCGCCGTGGCACAAGACCCAGGCTGCTCGCCCGGAACGCCTGCCTACGCTGAGGCCGCGCTTGGCAGCGTTTCCAGCAGCCGCGAAGACACGCAGCGAGGAACGGCTCCCGAAAAACCCTCTCCTGTTTGCTCAGGGCTTCCTACGACAAACACCGCCCGTGCGGCCCTTCGGTTTTATCAGCCCATAACAGGTTCTTGTAAAAGCTGCTCTGGCTCAAGTGCCACACGCTGGGCTCAAGCCGACGGCCTCTCCTGCACCCAGCTGGCTCGCTCAGCTCTCCCCAAAAATACCAGGGGGCCAGTGGGCTCATTTGCCTGCCTGGCGTGCTCGGCTTTCCTCAGTTTCCCTGGCCAGCAGGTCCTGTGCTGTGCTGCGCTGCAAGGGGGCACATCCCATCCCATCCCATCCCACTCCATCCCATCCCATCCCAGGCACCGGCACTCTCTCCTCCCTGGTGCAGGATGCAGCAGCCGCAGCGCCGGCCGGGGAGGGAGCAGGAGAGCCCTGATGCTGGGTGCTTAGAGCTGCCCCGTGGGCTCTGCTCAGCCAGCACCGCAGGGAGCTCTGAGCACCAGCTCCGTCCCCGCAGCCCACGGTCCCATCCTGACCCCCTGCTCGAGGCACCCTGCCCTGTGGAGCAGATGGCACCGGCCGGCCGGTGGGAACGCGCACAGGGAGAGGACTCGGCGAGCTCACCCCGCCAGGATGTCGACCGTGACCGTCAAGCCGATGCAGAAAGGTGCCAGCGGGCTCTTGGTCTTCCCGTTGACGGCGCCCATGCAGACCGCGAGGACCAGGAAGGTGGTCATGACGATCTCGCCCGTGAGGACGGAGGGGATCTGCTCATCAGCTGCGATGCTGCTGAAGGCTCCTCCGCTGGCATTCACGTACCGCTCGCTCGCTGCCACGGCCTGCACGGGGGGGAGCCCGGTTTGTGCTGTCCACGCTCCATATTGTGGGCTTTAACGGGCATATGTGCTCACTGTCAGGACAGCGTGGGCGGGCATAGCATCAGGTTAAAGAGGAGCTAATCTCATCACTTTCCTCCTGAAAGCCAGCCCTAAGCGCCTGGCAAATATAAACTCATTAAAGAAGGCTCTTAGCGTCTCCCGAGATAATGAGCCAGCCACCGCTCTCCGGGCGGGATGAGCCTCACCCAGCTGCCGAGGGGTTTGCGCTGGGTGCGGGCTGGCCGGGTGCTGGGAATGGGCAGCACCAAACGTAAATTAACCTTAGAGCACAGTGCTTTAAGTAGAAGCGCAGGCAGACACGGTGCATGAAAATGGCTGGAGCTGCAGAGGTACCGCGCACCGTTCTGTGCCTAATCAGTGCACCATAGCAAACCTCTGGAGAACAGCTGCCATCCAGGATTAATTAGCCAGGCCCCAGAGCGCCGTGCAGAGGCAGCACCCCCACATCTGCGCGGCACTGCCAGACCCAAGCCAGCGGTGGGGGGCGAGTTGCCCAAGTTCTGCAGTCAGATCGTCACAGACCTGGGAAGAGGAACCGGGTGCCCTGGCCCCAAGAACCAGACAAGCCCCACGGCCACACGAGCCTCTGAGCCGTATCCCCTTGTGAGAAATCAGGGCTCTTAATGACATGCAGAATGGATGCACCGCGTCCCCCTCGCCCTCTCCATCACACATGCTGCTGCGGGAGACCCCAGGGCTGGGCAGCAGGTTGGGGCTGGCCAGGCCAGCTCCGGCAGAGCAGGGGGTGTCCCTGCACCCCCCATTAGCCCTGGTTAAAGAGACTCCCCGGGTGTCCATACCTTTGCCAGGCTGGCTCCTATCGTCCCTCCACAGAGCTGGGAGAGCCAGTAAGGAATGAGCATCGTCATGTTCAGCCCGCCGACCAGCCACACGCCCAAGGACACGGCGGGGTTGAAGTGTCCTCCGCTGCAAAGGAGAGAGGACCATCAGCGAGGGGTTCACCCCCAGGGTGGGGTTCCCTCCTGGGGGCTCGAGTGCTGCACTCGCCATGGACTGGAGCCACAAATGCTTTTTCAGTCCTTCCCGGGAGATGTTATGCACTGCAGAAGAGCAAAATCCAGCCATGTCCTTTCTCTGCAGTTACTGCTCCAAAGCAGCAGCATCTTCACACTGGATACCCAACCCCTCCCACGGGGCTGGCAGGGGCAGGAGCTGCCCCGGTGCAGTTTGAGGGACAGGGTTTGGGACTGGGTCTCCAGATACCCCCAGGGGATTCCAGGAGGTGCGAGGAGAAGGGGTCTCTCCTGGCATTGCAGGGTGCTGCAGGCTGCAGAATGCACCAAAGCCCTGCCCGAGGCCCTGGTGCAGGGGGTGGGGGGGGTCCCACCGCTGCCCCCACCCCCAGCGAGAGCTTTGTCCGTGGCAGCAGCACAGCCCGGCCACCAGCGCTGTCTGGAGCAGCTCCTCTGGGGGCAAAGACAGAGGGAAGAAAGTCATTCCCCGTTACATCCTTGTGACAGCCACCCCTACTGCTCAGGGGAAGCGGGGGGGGGGGCACTGATGGAGCTGGTACCCAGCTTGGCAGGACACAAGTCCCCGGGACAGAAGGGAAGGGGATAAGCACTGTCGGACAGGGCTGAGGCCACCTCCCAGCCATACCAGTGCTGCTGGACTCTGCTGGGATTTTCAGGGTTTATCTGCCTCTGCTCAGTGTGAACACAGAGGCACACAGGTCTCTCTGCATCCCTGCCTGCTGCCCACCACGGCCCTGGCAAGGGCTGGCAGGAGCTGGCGCTTGCCTCCTTACGAGACCTAAATCATTCGTCTTGAAGACCACATGCAAGACAAACTCAGATACCTTCTAATTAAAACAGATTACCATGAGACATGTGTTAATGAACAGGTTTCATAACCAATCAGCCCTAATAATTGCTGGTGAAGCCGATGAGTCAGAGTGTCTAGGAACTATAATCACATCTTATTCTTCAGCTGTAATTAAAGACCCATCATATGAGAGCAAGAAGTTGTGTTGTTTAGGCCAGCAAACGTCTCGGCCAGACAGGGCTCTGGCTGCAAATACCCTCAGAATGGGTGGGAACCGGGGGGCTAAAGGAGGGCCTGTCTGCAAATAAACCCTGGCCGGAGCACCCACCCACCCGTGGCATGGACAGCGAGCACTCATCCCGAGCCAGGCTCCTCTCCAGCCTCTCTGGACACAAATGTCTAAAACCTGACTTTTAGGCTAAAACATCTCCCTGCACAGGACCCTGAGCCAGCTCCTCCTTGCTTCAGAGCTAACGGGGGACCCCCGAGACGCCTCTGCAGCCCCTCATCACAAAACCCCCCCATGCTGCTCCCCTCGCCCGTGGTTTCGCTGTGCCGAGGGCGTCTGGCTCGGCTCCGCCGGCACACGCACCCCTGATCACCGTGTCCCGACTGCACAAACCTCACCCTGGGGCGTTATCCCTCCTAATCAGGCGCTGATAAATTACCAGTTGGTTTGCTCTGGACTCCAGGGCTCGCACGTGAGCCCAGCTGAGCCACCCTCCCCGGCCGGGGGAGGTTTGTGTCCCAGCCCGGTGTGTGGGGGGGACAGCCCAGAGCCACCCCATCCGTGGGCTGTGCGGAGCCGACCGAAGGGAAGGGAACAAGACTCCACAGGGAGCGTTTCAGCTTCTTCCTTCAGTGTAAATCTGTATCTTAGCATCAAACAACACCTTTTTCAACGAGCAGGTTTGTCTAAATGTTGCTTTTGAGGAATTGAAACCACTTGCAAATGGAATCCAAATTTTTCACCTGAAAATACACAGGGGAGTAGCATACTCGGGTCAAAATGTTTCGTTCTGACATCCTTTTAAAAGGAAACGTCTCAGCTTCCCAAAGGAATGCCTCTATTTCAGCTTTGACTGTTTTTATCAAAAGGGGCTAAAAATAAAGCGTTGCAATCAAAAGCCAAGCGAACTCCCCCAAGCCCAAGGCATTATGGACAACCACCACCTAAGCAGCCATGGCGTTAACCAAGAGGCTCGACGGCAGCACAGCGTTGCTGCAGTCACCGATATTTGGGCAGGAAAGATCCTAAAAGCAGTGTGTGGGGAGACGCGAGCATCTCCTCCCGTCCACGTGTGGAAATGGTGTGGGTGCTGCGGCAGGGATCACAGCAAGGGGGTGCAGAGGGGGTGGCGGGGGGACACACGTGCAGCCCCAGGTGCCGGCCCCCCTTACCTGATGTCTCCCAGGATGGCAATGGTGAGCCCCAGGGCCAGCCCGTGTGCCAGGGCGGGCTGCAGCCTCCCCGTGCCCTCTGCATCCTCGATCACGGAGAGGCAGCCGATGAAGATGAAGAGCCCGCTGCCCAGCAGCTCGGCCACGCAGGGCTGGACGTAGCGCTCGTACCAGTGAGGTCGCGAGGGCTTGGACTGGATGTCGATGTCCATCGCCTCCTTCACTAGGCGGTGACCACGCTCGGCAGCGGCCATGAGCGGGGCTGGAACGAAGCAGGCAGAGCCCTGGGGGAGCCGGGCACGATCGAGGGGATGCTGCAGAGCGGAGGGCTGGGGAAACTGGAGGTGCAGGCTCGGGTCTCGGAGGGGTCTTGGTGCAGGGACAAGGACCCTCGAGGAGCACCCCGCTTGTCCCACTGAAAGGCTGGCAGGCTCCCCTTGACCTGTATGAAGAGGTAGGGGATGGGAGGCTCTAAGAAATGGATTGGATTTGCATTGCTTAAAAAAAAAAGAAGGGGGCAATAAAAGCTGATAGGCCGGCCCCCAGGAATATAAAAGCTCTTTATCACTGCCGTTCCTTGGTTCAAGGCTTTGGGTTTTTTTTCCCTGTGGGCATTTTTTGTTGTTATTGTCATTGTTTTAATGATTTCTGCCAAGACGCAGAATCTGATTCCTTTCATGTAGATACCCGGAGTGTGGGCACCTGTGTGAAGCCCAGCTGGCCTGCTTCACTGGGCAGCTTTTCCCTGCTTGTGCTGCCAAGAGGCAGCACGTGCCAGAAGGACCACAACATCGCGTGTGCCGGGGCACGCACGGATCCAGCAGTGCCCTGGGAAATATCTTACACAGCTCTGGGGAGGGAAAAAACCACTCCTTGTGAAAAATCACTCCTGGCCAAGAGCTCAGTTCTCTGTAATTAAGTCTAAGCCCAGGCATAACACAAGAGATGAGAGCCCTTCCTGGCATGGTGCGACCGAGAGCCCCGAAATGTGTGTAGAAACAGACACACGAGGTGCAAGGGGGAAGGCTGCGCCCTGGGAAAGGCTGTCTAGAGGCACCGTGCTGACGTGGGGGGAGGAAAACTGAAGCCCCTCGGAGCCAGCCCAGAACTCGGAGCAGTGTCCGGGCTTAGGCATGGAGGGCAGATGCCTCCTTCAAAAACTGCCAGATGTTGGTACCCTTGGGCACGGCAAACACGTGGGATTTAACTTGTGTTACATGGGTAACGCTTAAGGGGCTTTAAAACCTTAAAGACAGCATCAGCATGGAGAGACCTATCATCAGACCTCTTCCTACAGACCCTAGAGACCAGGTAAAGTGACCAATTTGGCTCGAGTTACTGAAGGAGCCTGCCTGAACCACAGTCAAAGCCGGTTCCCCTAAACCTCAGCCCACGTCCCGCCCAGACCTCCAAAAGTGGGGGGTCCGTATCCCCCTTGCACTGCCCTCAAATAAAAGATTGCTGGCGAGGGTGCCAAGGGATCCACCAGGAGCTTTGAAAGTTGACGTTGATCAACCGTTTAAAACAAAACCTCCCCAAACCCCCACCGCACCCCGTAAGGGATCACCCACTGCCCAGAAAGCCAGACCCAAGCCCCAGCAGAGGCCGGGGAGCTGCAGCCGGCAGGCGAGGTGGGGGCACGGCCGGGAGGCTGCAGCCTGGCTGGGGACACTGGCCACCACCACTGCCCGTGCAGCGATGGGCACGGCAGAAACCGCCCCGGCGACACGAGCGCGCGGGTCTCTGCATCGCGGCTTGCGTCGAGCAGCAGGAACGCGCCTGCCGCCTGCGCGGGGCTGCAACCCACCCTGCCGGAGATGAGCGCTGCGGCGTTTCACCTCCTTGAGCAATCGCCCGCAACGTTTCGTGTTTGTAGTGGGTAATTAAGGATTGGGGTTTATAGGTTTTTGGTTTTTTTTTCCCCTCTCGTAAGCAAGGGTAAAGAATGCCAGGGATGTTTTATGATGTTTTCACAAGACACTGGGAATGGGAAGGAAATTTCCACTTGCCTGTCCCAGGGAGGGCTGTTGCTTGCCACACGACAGACAACGGTCAGGCCAGAGCTCCAAGGGAATCCCAGTTCAGGCACCTCAAAATGAGCCTCTGTCAACTCATTTCCCCTCCCGGGAGCATGTTTCCTACAGAAAAAAGGTCTTAGCATCAAGTTAGAGAAATCACTAAAATATGGAGAGTGAGAGCTGGGGTTGGCTGGTCTTTGGGGCTCCTCTTTGAACCCCCTGCACAGACCTGTGGAACAGGAAAATACCCAATTCCATCTCATCAGCTCGCAGAGCACAGTCACCTGGAGCCAGTTTCCAACAGGTCCATCGAATCCAGCCATCGCCACATCTCGTGGCACAACCAGATGAGGGTTTCATTGGGAGGGATTTCAACTGGGGCAAAAGGAATCCAGGTTTCAGGGTATTTATTATGAGATTAATATAACACATATCCAGATGTCATCTGGTGCTTCTTCCCAGCAGCTCTCACAGCGCTGTACAAGTGATGCTGGCATCGCATCAGAGTGCCAAGAGGCGGCTGAGCTGCCCCCGATCGCCGGCGGCGCCGGGCAAGAGCACGGGGCAGCATGGGCAAAGCCCCAGGAGCCAGCCCACGGCTCTGCCCCTCTTTGGCCAGGGCAGAGGCAGCAAAATTTTGCAGCGCTGCTGCCGCCGTGTACATGGTGCAGGGACGCTGCTGATGGCGATGCCATAACGCCTGGACCGCGCCGTCCAGGCTGCTGCAGATGTCTCCCAGTGGAGCGATGGCTTCAGAGCCCTGGAAGGTCACAGCCCAAAAGTGAAGATTAACTCCGCGTCCTTGGCTTTTAAACATTTACCATTATTGTTTGGGGAGCGGGGATGTTTGCCTGAGCCTTCTAGAGGAAATGCTCTGCATTTAGGCAACAAAGGAATTAATTATTACTAAGCACAGGACTGAAACAACAGAACAGAAGTGCGATCCTGAGGGAACTTTTTTCCCCCCATCGGTAGGAGCTCCAGCCAAGCGGCTGCGCACCAAGTGCCAGCCAGCACTGCCCGGGCATCCCGTGTCTGCCATGTGGGAGTGACTGAAAAAAATCACTGGGGGAAACTGGCTCAGGAAATTTCAGCACTGTGCAAAACACTGACTGATTTGTTTTCGAAGATTAGGGAAAAGGAAGCATTTTTTTGCAGGGCCACGGCTGGTGTGCCGCTAACCGAACAGTTCAGTTGGCAGTTTCTTGCCTTTCTTTCTGGAGCCCAGGGAACACTGCTGTTCTCTAACCACTGCCTCGGTGTAAGGACAGTTACAAAGGAAAATAACACTCCCCACATGTAATTCAAGTTAACCTCAAAAACAGGGACAAAACCAAAACAATAAAATAACGATATTTTCAGCACCTGTCAGTTGTGGTGCTTAAAGCACTTTCGAGCCCTAAATCCTATCTGAACTTCCTGATGGACAAATGAGGCTGAGCAATCAGTTGGCTCATCACCAAATCATCACAGCACACATAGCAAAGGGGCAGAACCAGACCTGGCAGCGTGGGAGGGCAGGCAGGCAAAATACAAACTAGCCACATAGGAATTATCTAAAGTTTTCAGCTGTGCCATGCTGAGAAGTGCCAGAAGATTGTGCAAGACAAAGGGACGTAGGGTTGTTCAGCGTGGTCAGAAGTTGCACTACTGGCAAGATGAGCAAGGGCAAAGCAAGGAACTCTGGACTGAGAGGTCCACCGAGGCTCGAAGGGAACAGCATCATCTCAGCATGCTCGGGGCTGCCTGGACTCTCCCACACAGTCAAAGGTTTACAGCAGCAATATACACAATCTATATTTATAGAATTGGCAGAGGTGGTGTTGGATTTCTCTTGTGTTTACCCTGAACTGTGACTTTCCTGCACTTACAACTCTTGAGCATAATACGTTTTCCATAATACATAATAAGTGATTGCTACAGACCCAATTTAAGCTACATCTCAATCCAACATTACTCCTATGCCATTCTGAGAAGAGGCCGCTCCAGCACCTGCGTTTTGTTTAGAGACGCCGCTAATGTGCAAAGAAAACAACCCTGCTCTTAGCACCCTTTGCCCCTCATGGATAAGATTAAGTACTTGGCACTAAGGTTTACTCAGTAAGCTTGATAGAAACTATGCTCATGGGAAAAGGCGTGGGGATGAGAACAGATAAATCTGTTCATATTAGCAGACACTTATTTTTGTCCTTGTTTGCGCTTGCACCAATTTGTTAAATAAGTGACAACAGCAACTGTGTCAATTAGGACAGGAAATGGTGGTACAAAACAAGCAACAGCTTCGAAAAATCCTTTTTAGGAACCGTAGAGAATATTTCCCATGTCCATCCACCTGGACAGAAAAGTCAGAATAGTCCTATTTTATTCAGCACCCCCCCAACGTTTCATTCTGTTTCTCCCAGCTTCATCGTGCAGATCTGCAACATTTCTTTTCCTTTTCTCTATGAACCATTGCACCTAAAGTCAAACCACCCAAACTCAAAAAAGCACTGAAGCAGACACTTACGGTCATGCTCAGGTGCCATTAACATTTAACAATGTTGAAGTGCAGGACTTGAGCCTACGTGGAGTCTCTGTTGCATCAGTGCCAGTACATTTCATACGACAGACTTCTGACTGCATATCTATAAAAAAAAGCTATCAACAAAGTGCTTTGGTGCTGCACAGTGGTGTTGCTGCAAGGAAAGACCCCAGCATAGCCAGCATCCATGGTCAGCTCTTTTAAAAAGCAATAAAGAAGGCAAAGACAACTGATTTGACACTGCCTTATCTTTGCGGTATTTATCTTGGAGACTGATAGTCTTAATGATTACACAACAGTTACTGAATGAGAACTTGCAGAATTATTTGCAGCTCGTAGCAGTAACACAGGTTAGCTGACCTCTGCCCATTTATACATCCTATATTGCATAATAGTTTTACTTCAAATTGCTACCGTAATGCTCGAGTGCAGATGGAAATTTCCAAGGGTTCTTAATGCAGACTTACTGCTGCCTGTTGGAAAACAGGGACAGATTTGGGTCAGTTCTGCATACACAGAGTAGACTGGTTTTTGAGAAAGGAAAATAACCAGTAGAATGAAGCCATACTTAGACCTTAATTCTGGTATTTAACATTAAAATCCACCAAGCTCTCAAAGAAGGGTCAGGTGCTCCTAGTCCCATGCAGCATACACACATGCACGTTTTCCCTGCAACTATCTAACACTCAACTCCCCGTGACTATCCTTAAGGCCG